ATGTTTTTCTTATACATCCAAATAAAGGAATGAACCATTTAAGGAAAAGAAAACTTAAAAGATTGCGGGGAAATGAATAGTGAGTCACTATTTATTTTCTTAAAATCACTGTTCATTTACTGTTCATGAATGACATTTTTTGTGATTTTTTATAATGTTATTTTCGTGATTTTTTGATAGTTTTTGGGACACTCATTTGTAAATTGTACACTTTATTTTATTTTGGTCTCTTATTTTTTAAAAAATATTTTTGGTCCTTGATGTTTTGAAAATTTTTTTGACACCTCATATTTTTATCTTATTCCATTTTGGTCTCTCATTTTTTAAAATATATTTTTTGTTCTTCGTATTTTTAAAAATTGTTTTTGGCTTCTTATTTTTTTAGATTTAAGAATACATATATATATTAAATTATATTATTCTTATAGTTTAAAATTGATCTCTTCAATTTGTCATTTCTTATAGAAATTCTCATCAAATTGATTTTTTATGTAATTTTATTTGTTAATAAATACAATTTATTTTTCTCTCGTGTATAAATTGTAACCCCCGTAAAAACCCTTATCCATAACGCGACGTGTATTAGAATAATTCTATATATATGTATATTAAGAGTAAGTGTAATTATCATTTCATCATGAGAAATTAATGCTTGAAATATGTGATTTATGTTAAATTAAAGTTATTGTGCTTAAGATTAATGGTTTAATTATTAAAGAAATTAAATATGCAAAATCAGTGTTTTAAGGACTATATTCTGCCTGAGTTTTGTGTGAATTATTTGAGGTCTTTAGAGTAATTTGTGGGTCAACCTTAAAGAATGAAAGTTGTTCATCTATATGTTTAATAGGCCTGTATAAAAGTTTATAATATTTGGACCTATACATTAAGAGTTATACCAATTATAGTGAGGGTTGTTTCGAAATGCATTCTGCTGGAATTTTGGGAGAAGAATCTGTCCGAATCCTGTGAGATTTATTTGATGCTGTTAGATTGATTTTGAGACAAACATAAAGAATAAAAGTTGTTTGTATATGTGTTTACTAGCTCTCTATAAAATTTCATAAATTTTGGATACATATAGAAAGAGTTATGCACATTTTAGTATAGATGGGTTAGGAGGAAACACTGCTGGAATTTTGGGGGAAAAGAAATTCTGAATTTTTAAAAATGGAAATTTCTGAATTTTTATGAAAGAAAGCAGTTTTAGTTACTTGAATTAAGTTAATTAATGATTTTAATTAGTCTAAATTCTATATAGACACCTAAGCAAATGCAATAAATGAATTTAATGCCAACTCACCCATTATAGATTCCAAAGCGACCAACTTTCCTCATGACTCACCCATAACCTTTACACCTTATCCCATTAATTTCTAACAATTGTAGCTGAATGAAAGTAAGTATATATATATATATATATATATATATATATATATATAGCAAGTGTTAAAATAGAAGAAACACTTTAGTAAACCGTAGGTACCGAAATTGAGAGAGAAAAGGCAAGAAAGAAAAGAGAGGAAGAAAAACGTGAGAAGAGAAAGGAAAGGAAAGAAAAAGAGGAAGGGAAAAAGGAACGAAAAAGAGCTAAGAAAACTATAATCAAACCTAAAAGAGGTAATTAGGTTTCATTTCTTGGCTGATTAATTTCTTAAATTATTTTTTTAAAGTTATTTTATTAGTGTTTATTTCATGGGTTGTAATAATCTTCAATGGTTATATGCTTGATGCTTGGGATAAATCTATGTATGGATGCCTTGTTGTGATGATTTATGATGTTATGATTTTTTGAAAAATGTCCAAGTATGTGGTGATGGGTTGGATTGAACTTGGACTAAATTTAAGTGAACTAAAACATGTTTAAAATTGGCTTGGAATGAACTAATAAATTAGTGTTGATAAGGAGTAAATTCTGTCCGAATTTTGGGGTGTATTTTCAAGGATTTTAGATGGATTTTTAGGTGAAACTTAAAGCATAAAAGTTGTTCATCTATGTTTCAACTAACTTCCTTTAAAATTTCTTGGTCATTGGATTCGTGTACAAAGAGTTACACCCGATTTAGTCTGGATAGCTCTAGATAAACTACTATTAGGCAGATTGCTCCATAAGTTTCAAAAATTTGTAATTAATTGTATACTTGGTATTTAGACCTAATTTTTGGATATGTTATAAATAAATATGTCTAGTATCTAAAATAAAATGAGTAAGATTTAATTATGTTCTAAAATTAGAATATTATGTACTCGATTAGGAGTTGCCCGGTAATAAACCCTAAAACCAAAAAAATTAGACTTTGACAAAATTAATAGGTTTGGAATAAACTAAATGAGCTTGAACTAAATAAAATGGAATTAAATAGAGTCAATGGACCTAGGATAAAGTTAATGGGCTTGGATTAAATTAAATGGACTTGGACCTTCTTTTAAATATTAATGAACCTAATGAACAATATTAATGAGCGGAGATTGTGTTCCCGTCTGTGGGTATCATGATTGGTATGTGAGTAATGGATAAATTTCGAGTGTGGGTTGGACCGTGAGTATGGCATGAGAATGAAGGGTTGATACCCGAAATTGGTTGAATGTGATTAAATATGTCATCACGTGCATCATGTGCATAGTGGGTGGTTTAAGACAAGTCAATTGATTGAGAAATGGTTTATACATCTAGGTTTGATAACCTAATTGGAATAAATGGGTATTAGTAGTCCAAGTACTCTAGATCAGTGTGCCCGTACTATTAGACGATGGATTTTCGCTAATAGTAGTTACAACGAGGGATAATTCCGTTGTAGCAGAAGATGATCCGAGGATCATCCGGATGAAATCAAGTTGTGTGACCGCACCGTTAGACGATGGATTCCCGCTAACGGTAGTTACAACGAGGGATAATTCCATTGTAGCAGAAGGTGATCCGCGGACCACCCGAATGATAAATAGAGTAGACTAGCTAATACCTGGGGTACCCGAGATTAAAATTTATGAGTATGGTAGGAAGTCAAAACAACATTGCATATCACGTGCATCACCACGCTTACCGAGCTTCGGCTCGCCATGTTGTTATTTTTTTATGTCTTGACGGAAAAGGACAAGTTGGTACGGATACGGCTGGCTCCTCCTAACCGGCTCATGTGAGGCACCATATATTAGTTTTTATTTTGTCCGTAAATTTGGGGTATGGAGTTCGTGAGAAATTGAATATTACTCGTAATGTTTTATTAATATATTTAATTATGTTATGTAAATTTTATCTTAAGGAGTTATATACGTAATGTACTCGTTAAAGTCCTAAGAATATCATAAGAAAACTACTTAGAGTTAGGGTATGTCGATGTAACGCGCTTCGTCTAGTACCCTATTTGGGTAGTAGAAATACGATTGGGGCGAGGGCGTTACATAAATTTTCAAATGTCTTTTTTAATAAATAATTAATTAAGTAATAGAATTCACATGTTTTTTTTTTTGCTCATTCTTGATATAATAAAAAAAAATTTGAAATAAAATTTTTAGTTGTTTTTTATTGCATTCTATTAACTTAAATATATTTCTTATAGCTTAAGTTTTTTTTTTAAAAAAATATTTTTTAATTTATGCTTGCATATCCTGGCTCACTCGAATATGAGCATGATGAATAAAAAAATTAAGATGATTGATTTATTAAAAATTAACTATACATCTACACACATGTAACATAAACTATTTGCTATTAATTATTTTTAATATTATAAAATTAATTTATACCAAATAAATAAATTAAAATAATATTTTAAAAGAACCACCTAATAATTCAAATACATCTTTTGATACTAATTTTATTGATTATTTTGTAAATAAATATATATAAATCAAATGTATATATTTTTAAAAGTTAAAAAGAATTCATTAGTTAATTTTTATACAAGTTTTTTATATTGATTGTTGCTTTATTTATTCAATGCAATCCTATGAAAAAAAATATTAAGATATTTTTTAAAATTTTATATTTATATTATTATATATTTTTATTTAAGAATTGATGCATGACAAAAACGAATCATAGTTTTTAATAATAAAATCTATGAAAATCATAAAAAAACAAAAACGAATGAAATACAAAATTTAATAAAAAATTATAAAATTAAATAAAATTTTATTTATTATCTTTTATTTAATATATTTTAGTAAATTTAAAATATAACGTAAGCTATTAAAAATAAAATAAATATATTTATTTCGATTCGATATATAATGCCAAAAACCGACTACTTCTCATCCACCGCGCGCGCGGGGGGTGGGGTGGGGTGGTTGGGGTTTTGAAATCTTTCTTGAGCTCCATGCTCTTTGTATAACCCTCGATTGTGAGACAGACTCCTTATCTCGAGACAATGGCAGATCCTCGTAGAGAGGGGGCAGCCTCCCCTAGCATTTTAAATTTTTTGAACCATTACCTTTAAGTTCCATTACTTTTCAAAATTTTCATTTAGTCCTCGTGTCACAAATTTTATAGGCAATTGTATCCTTAATTTGAAAACTAAAAGTCCCTTCCCACATACATATTATTTCCAACCGTCAAATAACACATCCTTAAAGACTTAAGTTATTTCCTTTTCTTTTCATGCATAAAAATTAAAAGTAATAAGATTTTAAGTCTATGATTTGTTTACATAGTAATATTGTCATATCTGGAATTGTGTTCTTCCTTCAAAAAAAAAAACACACTCAGAAATCTACTATATCAAACCCTTACAGAAGCCCATAAAAATAGCCTAGTACAATGACCAGCAAAATGAAGCCCAACCCTAATAAGAACTCACTCCCCAGAGATTGCCCATTTTTTATCCCCAAAAGCTTCCTACCTGATGAAAACAATAGGCCCATCCACCCGCGCTCCGACATCTCTGCATATTCCCTAATCCCTCACGCGCCACCACGTCTTGCGCGTGGGGCATTCAAGGGAGGGATGCATTCCATTCGAAACAATGAATGCAAATCGAAAGAAAACCTGCAGCAGGGAATCAATGGATTCTTTTCAACGGCGAAACAATGACGACAAAGATGACGTTAGACCATTTTCTTTGATGTGAGAACCCTATGTATACTATCAGTGACTCACAGGACAAACACTTGAGGTTAGTTACTTTTATATATATATTTTTTCCAATTAGCTTGATTAATGCTTATGTTCCTTATATCTCAATTTTTGTGTTTCTAGTTAGGTAATTGCTTGATCTTCATGTATCCTTTCGCAGTTTTTAATGAAGATTGATGTTTTTTTTTTGGCTGCTAGGAACATGGATAAAAATTTCTATTATTTTTGTATTGATGAATATATCTTAACCAGAATTACCTGTCTGAGAGAAATGCATTGCAGTCTAGAATTTTTGTCCAAAATTGGGGACGGTGGAACAAAATTACTCCGAAACCTAACTTTCATTTGGTTTTGACTTCGAACTCTGTTTGTGTTGAAAATTTGTTCTCTGTCTCATGAAGTTTGTATTTTCAATTGGAGGTAACAAAATATAAGGTTATTGTTTCTTGCGTATGATAGCTTTCTCCGTTAAGGTCTTACCATCTTCTTCGGCTTGTTTGGAAAGTTACTTTTGTAAATTTCATGATTTGACAAGATAAGAGCCATCAGACACAGAAAAATATAGCAATATAGCCAAAGAAACTAACAATCACAGTGGATGATTATACTAGTTAAGATTCATAAGTGCATGCCAGCCAATCTGCACATCTCTCTTCCTCCCTTTCTCATGTTTTCCATATCTGTCTGCATGTTTTTGCATGACACGTGCTATCATTGAACTTTCTAGAGGCATGAAAACACGGAAACAATTTATTAATCTAATTTATATTTATTGAAAATCCATCACTTTTCATGATTTTAAGAAATCATCGTTAGGCATCTGCTTTTTATTTAAATGTAACAAGGTACCTGTCTTGTATGGATTGTGATCATCTGATATGGAATGTGCTATGCATATTTCTTCAAGTGCATTGCGTGTATGAAATGGTTCTTCAAATTAACTACGTTGTTTATGCATGGTTTCTTAGTTTCTAGACTGCTATAAGATACATGTTATACCTCATTCATGTTCTAATTAAGTTCTTGCTTAGACTTGTCTCTTGTGAAATGCCTTCATATATGTTGGTCGGATGCCTGAGCTTTTTTCTGTATTTTACAAGTATTTGACAGCTACATGGGTTGGCTACATTTGTTTTTGGGTTATTGCTGAATTTATCCTAGTGCAACATAATTCTCATTTAATCCAAATCTTCAGGAAAGTATGGAAGTCTGCTTCATAGAAGCCTATTTGCTCAGTATAAAATTCTTCGGCTTATAACTTGTATAAGCTGATCTATTAAAGTGCCATAGCTAAAATAAAGTGAAGTAACTGGATAGAAGACATTGAGAAGCAGAAAAAATCTGATGCTAGTAGCTGTTTTACAAGGTTAAGTAATATATCAGTGATGGACACGTAGACTAACAGTAATAAATTTAAATTTGTCAATGCTATTTATATTTCTATTGTACCATAAATGTACCTTATCCAAATAGGTTGTTAATTTATTGATTAAGATTTACATGTACTAGTCTGACTATATCTCTTTATATCTGTTCACACATGCCTATGTTCGTGTGTTTATGTGACACACTGTCCATGATCTTACTAGAGGCATAAGAAAGATGGACATATTTTAAATTTATTCTACATTTAATTAGAATCTGTCGATTTTGTGACCATAATAAATCGTCTACCTTATCTACTTTGAGATTAAATTTAAAACAAGGTAACTAACATATTTGGATTGTGGTCAACAAATTAGGGAATGTGCTATGCATATTTCTTTACGCAACAACGTGTGTTTTGTGCATGATAATGTTCATTTAAATTGATTAAATTGCTAAGTATGCTCATTGTGTCAGTCTCTAGACCACTAAATACATGCTTTTCATTGTTGTTTGAACATATTTGGATATGTCGTAAATCTCATTTTGTGGTTTTGATTATGTCATTGCTTATCATTTGTAAACAGCCTCTGTGTTGTATACTTTGGATGTTCTGTTTTCTATACGAGAATATCATAATTATACAGTTTGGCTTTGGTGATTATCAGTAAATTTGTTTTAGTTCAATGTAATTACCGAAGAATTCCAAATGGAGTGGAAAGTATCTGACAGGTGTAGTTATTATGCCAATTTCCTAGGTATAAAATTCGTTAGCATATAAATAATCAAGTTATTCTATATATTTGTTTTGTTGTTTCAGTTTTGATGGTTTGATCTTGTATCTGTAGGATGGGGGAGCTGATGAAGTGCAGTGCATTAGCTACAGTGAAGTGCTTGGATAGAGTAGTTGTGATGTATGATTCTGATGCTACAGTCATAGATAACCAGCCATTGCTATTGTTCTTGGAAAATCAGCTCCTTTCAAGGTAATATATCAGCGATGAACTAAGAGTGGGATCGTAATAACATTAGTCTGCGAATACCATTGATATTTTTACCTTGCCATATAAGTAGTTATTCATGACATCCTTAAAGTAGTAAGGAATTTCAATTGTATTGGGATAAATGTTATTGTGTTAACTTGGTAAAGGCATATTTTGATGGTTTTTGCATGTTTTGGTATTTTCTTTAATGGCATTTCATATTTCTAATTGCTGGCTTCATTCAAAATTATGGTAGTTCTTTATTGACTTCTTTCTTTACCCCTTTGCATATGTTCCTAAAGAAAAAGAGTGTTCAAAGACATCAATAGAAATTTGTTATGTTTCTGTATTGTTCTTTTGGTGCTAAGAACACACATAAAAGCTTTTAAGGATTTTTTATCTAATAAAATTATATATTGACCACAGTTACCAGAAAATGCTCTCAGGAAAGATATTGCAATCCAAAATTTTGCACGATTCCTAAAGGGTTGAAATGCTGTGCAGCTTTTTTCATTTTTTTCCCCTTATAGTTTTCCCAAAGGTGTAAGTTTCGTCTACCTTTTCTGAACTGGTAAGCTTAAGTTTTACAAATAGACTGTTTAGGTGATTGAAAGCTACATTTTATCTGAATAGCTTGAAGAAGACTGGTCCAAACTTACCATGTTCCATAACTGCTCGAGTAATTTTTTTCCTGTACTGATTTATATTTTTGGCATCTTTAGTATTATACGTTGGATACTTCTCACTTCAATTCAGAGAGCATACTATAGCAGGTAGTTTTGGTATGTAACTTGGAAATCTCTATTGGTTTTCTACCGAGAGCGGAAAAGGTTTGACATTTCTGTGGTTTTGGTATAACTTATAAGATTGTCCATCTAACACTGAGGGTACCGCTCTATTTTTATTTAAACACTTTGCTGTTTAACGATGTCTTCAGAGGTCTGCCCATTAAGTTGCCTTTTAACAAAATGGCATGGCATACAGTTCGGCTTTCTCATGCTTTGCTTTCTTAGTTTTTGTCATTACATGTTATATGACTTGTTGCAGATAAAGGGTTGGTATTATTGGAGGCATCTTGATTGATAGTGCTTATTAGTACTGTCTATTCATAATTTGCATAATCTAATTATGTTGCTTCTGCTCATTTATAGTTTCTTCTTCATGCCACTATGTTGTTTCTTGATGTAGTCCCCCAATCTGAAGATGGTAAGAAGATATGATATCAGTGTTTACTTTGAGTTTCTTCTTCATATTTGAGTTCAATTTCGGAGCTAAATTCCTTCAACTTTTCTAGTCATCTTCAAGTTTATCGTTTTTGTATGTCACATTGCTACATCAGGAATTACACATGACAGCTGTCTTGTTATGTTCAACCGCCCTTATAATTTTTCCTTCGAGCCCAAGACTAAATCAACATTGAAAAGATGTACTTTCATTGTCTCAAATATAAAGCAAGCCTAAGGCAAATGCATGTCTATGTGCTGTTGCTTTTATATTTGAAGGTCTTCTTCAGTGTTTAAATCAACTATTTCATTTTTGTTTTTTTTGGTAGTGATTAGATCAGCAGCATTATTTCCTTTGGTTGGATTCAGTGTTGGAGCTCACCAATATATGGAGAAATCCTTTGTTTTTCTTTTGCTGTTGATCATAGGGTTTGTATGTCGCTGTGAAATATGAGGTTATTAATACAATGAAACATGTAAAAGCATGTGAAAACCCATGCATATTTGATTAGATGGGGACACATTTTAGTTGAATGAAGACTTGGAACCCTTTTGAAAATGTGGCTTAAAATCTTTTAGGAACTAGTTTTACCCCACTTCTATTTCAACCAGAAGTTAATACATGTAGTAAAACATTGAAGTTTGACCTCATACCTTGAAAGTCTCCAAAATTTTGCTCTACATATCGTCATGCTTATTGCCTTCTGTTTACAATTCATTTACCTCATAGTTAGTTTCTTGTTTTCTTTCTTTTTCAACCCCATCCCATTAGTATTGTTGCAGAAGCATGAATATTAAGTACTTTTAGCTGAAAACTTGAATTATGCATCTGCTCTTGGGCATGCGGTTTAATTATTAGCTCAGGGTGTCCTAATCTATCAATGTTTTCTTTTTCATCATAATCTACCAATGTTAATAGAGTTAGGCCACTACATAACAGAGGATGTGTAAAGTTGTTTTCTTTTTTCGTCTTTTATTAATCTTAATAACAACTCTTGTTATTCAAGTAATTAGAGAATAAAATCATGATATAAGTAACTGAAAATCAATCTGCCTTCTAGAAAAGAAACACCGACCAAATTCGGGAAATTTTTAAAGTTTAAATTTAACAAATAAATGGTTGAATTTACATCAACAGATTAACAAATATGCAAGTGCACTTTGCTTTTCTATCAATGCATGTTGACATTATTTTTTGGTTAGTATAACTGAAAAAGGAGAATGATAGGAAAATTTTACGGTTTTTATTATCAAATTATCTTTCTTTTGAGAGGATATTTCCAACTTATGCCCTAAGGGTTTACTCCTAATATCAATAATGGAAGGTCTTAATTTTCATTATCAGAGAAATCGTAATCATTAATTGCCTTGTTGCTGATTATGGAAGTTAAACCTGCCACCCATTTGTGGATGCCTAATTCATGCCCTCAGGGCATATGTTGGAAACTTTTTTGAAGCAATGGTTGTCTCTTGTCTGTTCATCTCATACCTACCCCCATAATGAACGGACAAAATTCACTCACCCACATTTCTCAGTGAGAAGAGCCAGCAACCTGCCATAGAGGAAGATTGGTCTCAGAAACCCTAGAGGGTAGGTGAAGTTGGTTTCCTATATATACGGCAACATGTTCGCCAAAAGAGCCACCAATCAAAATGGGTAGCGAAACCCTAAGCACAGTCCTTTTCCATATTAGAGTTTTTATTCCTCTCAAGGATGATAGTATGGAAGATGATAGCGATGACGATGATGCTTTAGAGGTCAAAATCAAATTATATTTCATCAGATTGGAGATATACCAAAAGAACTACTTCAGGTTAGGATTTCTATATTGTTGCTTTTCTGTTCTCTCAATAACTTTTTAAATTTATTTGAAGTTAAGTTGATTTTTGATATTGCATAATGTATTGACAAATGCCTTTATAACTTCTCAGATCTATTTGCAACTGCCGAAAATATTGTAGTTGCATCTGAAATGTCAGTCTGTATGATCTGTTCCCATGGAAAAGGCTGTGAAAATAACTACAGCAATCTCTACGAAGAAGAATCCAATGGTGGCCATCTAATGATTATCTTTTGCTAGTGCCACTAACAATAGTTCTCTGAGGAATTGGTGGTAGGTTTATTCTGCTCTTATGATTTCAATATTATGCTTTAGTAGCCAAAACAGCTTTGTTAAAAACCTCAAAATTGTGGCACTATTGTTATTATGATATGGGGTTTGATAATTAAAATGCAGTCCTAAAACTATGGTCCCAGATTGCAGCCTTCTTGAATCGAGGGAAGGTCCAAATTGCATTTATGAAAGCATCCAACATCCTTGTTTATATATCAATAGATTGATACGTTTATTACTGTGTTTTAAGTACTTATACCTTGATGTTCCTTATTTTTGCAGTCAGATTGTCAAACCAATGATGTACAGTCAAGAAGCCAACAAGCAGATCGTCTTTATGTATATTAAAGGTGACTGGGATAAGTTGGGATGTGGCTTTAAAATGGTTGGCCTGAAGCTGTCTTCCCGTTCGCCGCTGCAAGTCAAACACCCAATATCGAAGGAATGGTGCATGCTAGAGTTAATTTTTCGAGGTTGTAAATTGATGTTTTTTGCTTACCTTTTTTAATGACGTGCAAACTAGTTCTACGATAACTTTCAAACCAAAAGAAAAGGAAAACTAATCAAATCTTGTAACCATTCAAAGTTCAGACACTGTAAAGTCTTTTTTTCTCTCGATGCAGAAATTATCTCTTAGTGGGATGTTTTTTTCACCTTCCAATCCTCTTCATTACCGTAATTCAAAGAGTTGATAGAGATGCAACGGGCGATCAATCTAAACTTTGATTTTGTTGTGTTAGAAAGCAGCTGCCGACTTAAAAATTTTTACCAGGTCAACTTCTGAAAGTTTACCGGCAAATGTAAATTATACATCATCGAAGAAATGACTTGGCATCTGCATAGAATAATCAATGGGCATAATTTGGTGAACTTGCCTATGCAAATCGAACGTAACATGGGCTGGTCTTTAGGTCTTTTGATTTAAAGCAGAGCTTAATAGTTCCAGTCGGATCTCTTGGTTTTTGCGTGTGTGTGTGTATATATAACAGTAGAGGCTAGTAATTAGAAAAGGTCCAGTTTATCAAAAATTTGAATAGTCTAAAATGGTAAAATACCTGATGCCTAAAAAAAAAAAAAATCAAATCTATACAATTATGGAAAAATAACATTTTTGAAAATAAAATGATAAAGATATCGTGATAACGATTAACTTTTGAACCCTTGATATTAAGGAGAAATTATTATAGAAATTTGATCTGTCAAGAAGATTATGAATCAAATCAATAAAATATAAACGTGTATACATATGAATCCATATCATCAAGTTTAGGAAAAAACTTAAACCTGATTAACTAAAAAGAAGAAAATAAAGAAAATAAAAGGAAATAAATTAAAGAAAAAGAAAGAAGGAGAGACACCTTTTAGAGTAGAAACAAAGATTAGAGTGTTCTTTAGTATCTCTTACAATTTTTTTTTCTTTATTCATCATCAATATTAATCTTGTGATCTCTCTTGAATGAATCGATATCTCAAAGGAATCAAATGCAAATAACAATTCCGAGAATCTTTGCATCTTATTAGATAGCAATTTACGTGTTAAACTATTTGACATTTAAGAGACTTTTAAAAAATAACAATTATTTATATTTGTTATTTGTTTTGGGCACGAGTTAATCGATGTTTTGAAGTTGTCACCTAATAAAAAGCTTAAAAAAATACTGAATTTAAAGATTACAGGTAAGGAATTAGCTATGCTTTTAGAAATATATCGATCGCTCAAAGATAACTCTTTTTTGAGAAAAAGTTAGAAATATATCAATCACCCAAGATACTCTTTTTGAGAAAAAATATAATGTCTAATTTAATCCTAAGAATGTCTCTCCTAAGAATTTATTATGTCAATCTATTTTCTAAATTTATTTTCGAGTTTGTCTATTGTCTAATTAAATTATTTTTTATTTTTAATTGTGACATCATATTAAATTGACGTCGGTCTCCGAAATTGTAAGTATTGTCAATTCAACATCCAATTCAATTAAGTCCCGTGATATAATAGGTATGTGGAAAAGAGAATCGTCAATTATCAAATTGATCCTTCATTCTTACAAATGTTTTGCAATTCCACCTCTAGGTTCTTTGATTTTGGTTTCTTTTCTTTTAATTATATTTAATTGCACCCTCAATTGTATTTTGTTAATAATTAATCCTATTTTTTTCATTTTTCATTTTCTTTTTTATTGTCATATTTATGGTAATATATTAAAATAAAAGGAAAACTAACCTAATTTTTTTTTTTTAATGTTTTGTGATAAAATAAAGAAGAAATTAAACTAAAAATCTAAAAATTAAATGAAAGCGAAACTAACAACAACAACAACAAACATAAAAATAAATGTTCATATGATGTTTATCCTATATAAAAATAAAAAATAAAATTATGAAATGATAAAGGTGAGGTAAATTTATTGTTATAATAGTGCTTACTCCATGGCTGTATTAAAAGTTTTTATTATATTTTTAATTAAATATAAATATAAGAAATATTATTCATATTTATAATGTAAATAACTAGAGTTAGTAAAAAAGTTTTTATTGGCCTAAACAACTAGCAAGGTCGTCATGTTAACTCTGCATGACACACTAAATTATGAGCTACATTTACATCGTCGTCACAACTTAACAATATACATATGAATCCATATCATTAATTTTAGGAAAAACTTTACCATGATTAACTAAAAGGAAGGAAAAAAAGAAAAAGAAAAAGGAAACAAATTAAAGAAAAAGGAAGAATGAGAGACAGTCTTTTACAGTAGAAACAAAGATCAGAGAGTTCTGTCTCTCTTATAAATTTTTTCTTATTCATCATCAGTATTTATCTTTCGATCTCTCTCGCTGTCTCAAAGAATCAAATGCGAATAACGATTTGAAGAATCTTTTACAATTTCTTGAAAAACTCAAGACTTGACCTTAATATACATAATTACAGGAAATATAAAATCCTTTTATTGGTTGTCATTATAAATTTATTGTTTTCATGAATAGATAATTAATACTTTTTTTAAGTATATATTTTATTAATAACAACCTATCTTTAAGAATACCACAACCGATCTTATCCAATCAGATATGAATTGTTTAGCTTGAAGATCCATAGAAGATCTACATAAAATATATGGAGAGGATATATATAAAATATGATCCTTGTAATATAGCTGTTGTAAAATAAATTCATAATAAAACCTATAATTAAATTAATATATAAGAATTTGACCTTTGTTTTACTGTTTGAATAATTATTGCCCAATAATTTTGTTAATAATTATTTTCTTAATAATAAATTTGTTAATTTTTACGTTGAAATAAGTCAAGACAACAAAATTATATTTGTATAATTTATATCCTCACATTGGCAGTGCCTGAAAACTATAAATTTTTGCTCAAAAATAATATTTGCATAATCTCCATCTTGGGCAACATGACTTTGTGCTTATTACTTTTGGTTAGAAAAAAGTCTCTGATAGATTTTTTTTTTTTTTAATAAATCTTCCATTCAATTTTCTTATGAATCTCATCAATTTGCACAAAAAATGCATGGAAGAACTGGTCTAAACTATAATTAAATGTTTTCCAATATATTTTTTTATGAAGAACATTTTAGTTTTCACATTAAAAATATTCTTAATCAATTTTTAAACCATCAATCCACATCCAAACATACAATTTTTTTTTTTTTAAAATATATTCATACAATCCTTCTTTAGGATTTGGATCAAACCCGAACACTAGTTGGGGATAAAATACACTCTACCATGGTAATTATAGCAAATTTACACAATCTTTTTCATATAAGGAAGTAAATTAACTTAAATCAAATCCAATAGATTTTTATTTCATCAAAAATTCAAAACAAACAAATCAAAATATTTTAATCCTTTGATAAATAAATATCAACTTATAATTTAAATTTAAATTTAATTTTTTGTAGTTAATATTCTTAAAAATTTATTTTTAAAACATTCAAAACAATGCATTATCGAGTGTTACTTAACGATGTTCCGAAAGAAGTTAATCTGGAGGTTAATGCTAAAGCTAGTGTACAAACACAAGTACCGCAGAGCCTTAAAAAAAAAAAACATATTCAAAAAAAACAAACGCAAGCAGAATGGTAGGACCAACCGTATGACTCAGTCATACGTTGCAAGTGATAAGGACATAATAATAGAAGAGTAAAGTAGCCCCTAATGTATTTCAAAACTATTAAACAGTCCTTCAGTTTTAAAATCTAATCATTATGCTCTTGACCATGGTTAATTTGATTGTATTATTTTTTTACAAAAACTTTTATATTTTATTATCAATATTTCGATAATATATATTTTTTATATTTTCTATTTATTAAAATAAAAATCCAAAATAAAATTGGAAAAGGGCATGAAATGGCTGAGTAGACTAATTAACGAGTTTTTAAAACTAGGAAGACTATGTAATTAATTTTCTAAAACTAGAGGATTAATTTACGACTTACACAATAATAATAAAGTTTTTCAATCGGATAAAATGCCACCAAACACCAACTAAAAAGCACCTAATCTGTACTATAAAAAACAGAAGAAAAGCAACAACAGAAGCGAGGTTAGAAGCGAATACAAAACCAAAAAGAACGAGAACTTGTTTCTCAAATTCTAAGTTCACTTGTGTGTGTCTGATAAGTGATGGCAGATCAGAGCCAGAAGAAGCCAGAAATCTTTGAACTCAACAATGGGACCATGCAGGTCAAAGTCACCAATCTGGGTTGCACCATCACTTCCTTGTCTTTACCTGACAAAAATGGTAACCAATTCTTTTAAATGTTCGATCAGTCTTTTCTTCTTGTTCTTTTTTTTGGATTTTGATTTTTTTTTTAAGGTGCTGTTGATTGTTGAGTTTTCTTGATTTTTGTAGGGAAGTTATCTGATGTGGTTCTTGGATTCGACTCTGTTGAGCCATATCTGGTAATTCTGTTCACTCGATCTTCTGTCATTTGTTATGATCTAGTGCGAAATGTGGTTCTTTTTTGTATGGATTTATGATTTGATTGGCCTATTTCTGGATTTGATATTTTGTTGATCGCTCAGGATGTAAACTTTGTATTCTGGGATGATATAGATTCTGTCAACTTTGCGTGCAACCCCTTTTGATTTTCCCTTTTTTTGGCCAAATGTCACTGGTGTTTTAGTTTGTTGCATGCATTTTCATTTTGAGGGAAGCTCAGTGATAATAACCTTTGTTGATTTTTGGGTAAATGTATCTGTGATCAGAATCGTGTTGCACCTTATTTTGGTGCCATTGTGGGTCGAGTAGCAAACAGGATCAAAGATGGGAAGTTCACTCTTAATGGGGTAGATTACTCCTTACCCATTAACAGGCCTCCAAACAGTCTTCACGGTATGGCCTGTGACTTCATTTATTAAACTTCGATGCTATTCTGATCAATCATTTCTGCCAATCAGTCAGTAGAGTTGAAATTTCATTAGATTAGCTTATGTAGTCCTGTGTACCATTTATTGTTTTGATTTGGAAAATTTTGTTAACATGACAAAATTATTTTTGTTTCTTGGAAGTTTGATTTGTAACGTTCATTGGTATATGCGAAACTAGAAACACTGATTGAATAGGTATGTGACTGGAATTTTAGTTGACATAGTTTTTTCGTAAAAATTAGAATATTGGTTCCCTAGTTCTCTTTTTATTTGTAGAATATTTGGAGAAAAAAAAAGTACCCATTTTTTTTTTTTTTTTACTATGACAGGGAGGTGTAATGGGATCACAAACAGCCACTGTTAGAAATCATGCATAAGATTTGAGATTTTAGATTTTCCTCATGGTTGCGTGAGTAGCCAGTCTTCCCCAAGTTTTTCTTTTCACTCAGATCAATGAATGAAACTGCTCTCGATCAATTGTTGATTTTTCTTGTTACTATAGCCAATGACATTGATGCATACTCCTAACATGAAGGTGAAAAAAGAATTCCATTTATATGTTGTTTCATCAACTAAGAGGTTTCAGATGGCACATCTGAGTTTAAGTTTGTTCTCTAAAACCTCTTTCTAGTGCATTGCTTTTCTGACTAGACAGGAATCTGTAGATAGAAAAATTTACATAACCATTACAGCTTTCTCTTATGGTTTTTAATGATCTCCTACCTATGGTGGGTCCATTTCTTAAGCTTCATGTTATTTTACTTTTTGATTCTCTGGCATCCATAACATGCCTATTCAAATGGCTAGCATATAAATTTTCCTCCTACTTTCTCTGCTTTAGGTGGGCACAAGGGTTTTGATATAGTTGTATGGGAGGTAGCAGAGTATAAGGACTGCGAAAAACCATCCATTACTTTTAAATACCACAGTCATGATGGAGAGGAAGGTACCTTCTCTCACTTTTTCTCTCTGGTAATATTTTTGTGCCTGCGTGCATGTCTCTGTGATTGATATTTTTCCTTTTCTCCTGTACCAGGTTACCCTGGGGATCTTTCTGTAACTGCAACTTATACACTGACTTCAAGCATGACAATGAGACTTGACATGGAAGCGGTGGCTGAGAATAAGGCCACTCCAGTGAGCTTGGCACAGCATACTTACTGGAACTTAGCTGGACACAACTCGGGAAACATACTTGACCAATCAGTTCAGATATGGGGATCTCACGTTACTCCTGTAGACCAGAACATAGTGCCAACTGGTGAAATCATGCCAGTTAAAGGCACCCCTTTTGATTTCACCGCTGCAAAGAAGGTTGGTGCTTCAATCCATGAGGTTGGTTTAGGGTATGATCATAACTATGTACTCGACTGTGGAGAAGAAAAGGCAGGTTTGAAGCATGCTGCAAAAGTTAAGGATCCGTCAAGTTCAAGGGTCCTTGATTTGTGGACTAATGCTCCTGGGATGCAGTTTTACACTGCAAACTATGTGAATGGAGTTGTCGGTAAAGGAGGAGCTGTTTATGGAAAGCACTCAGGGCTATGCTTGGAGACGCAGGGGTTTCCTAACGCCATAAACCAACCAAACTTCCCATCGGTGGTAATTCAACCTGGCGAGAAGTATGAGCACACTATGCTGTTCGAGTTTTCAATTGAGTGATATTACAGCCAACTGAGGGATAGAAGTCAGAATAAGGTTTAATTACGTTTTGCAGACAACCAATTAGTGTCAACCTTGGTGATTTCTTCTAATATATCACCTCAAATAATAAAATGATGAGATTCAAGTCTTCATTGATTTGTTAAACAGGCCTATTCGATCAGCAATCACACATGCTGATCTGACAGAACTTGACCTGAAGTAAGTTTTGCCATCTCGTACTGTCAACTCCAACAAGTTTTTTGTTTTTTTGGCAAGTTGTGAGAAGAGGGGAAATGAATGCACCCACTCCGACCACCAGTGCAAATTCAGGAAGTCAGCTTTGTTAGAAAGATCTAAACTTGAGAAAAGATGTCACTCTTCGACGGGAACAGGATAAGTTTCTTGGGAAACATTACACAGATGCAAGTTTGCCGAAGCGCATCAAATTAATTTTATTGAGTCAAATTCAGGCACATTCCCACTCATTAATCTGATGGACAAATTATAGTTATGAGAGTTTTTTATTATTTAAATTCAATACAGGCACTGTTTGGAGTCCACGCACAATTTCTAGTTGACTCGATTATCGCATGTTGCTGCATGAGTAAATTATAAATTAGTTCCTCTAGATTTAAGAAACAAATTAATTAGTTTTTTTTATTTTAAAAATTATTATTTAGTTTTTTAATTAGTGTTAATCATGTTTAATTTAATGTTATTTTTATTTTATAAAATCTTTTATTTTCTCATTAATCTTTCCATATTTTTTTATATATTTTTTCTTTTCTTATTTTTTAAAATAAAAAATTAAAATAAATTAAAAATGATTAAAAATGATTAAATTACAAGTATATTTCAAAATATAAGAATTAAATAGTTAGTTTTAAAAATAAGAGAGATTAATTAATTCGTTTCTCAAAACGAGGAGGATTAATTTGTAATTTTCTCTTTGCTGCACTAAAATGACACTTAAAAAAAAAATAAAGGATGACTACTGGCTTTAATCATTCAAATTTAGAAATCTATCTAAAGGACTGCAAGGAGAAGTCAGTATCAAAGTAATCTAAAGCAGTCCAATAGAACTCCAATCTTGTGGGATATAAAATGGAGGCTTGTTATTGAATTTGCCAGAAAACTTAGTTTTAAGCTCATTCTGAGTATTCTTCTTTTAAGAGCATATTAGAGCGCAAAAAAAAAAAAAAAAAAAGAAAAGAAAAGAAAAGAAAAGAAAAGAAAAAGAAAAAAGATAGATAGAAGGGTTACTAAGCTCGTCTTCATTTCATCAAGTACAAAGGCATGGCAGCCTCTGCCACCACCTTTGGAATTTTTGTTCTCAATCAAATAGAACATAAATTTCCAAGTTTGCATTTTATTCTTCAGATCTGGAGTCCATAGTTCTGACAGGAACTAACATGGGAATGGAAGGAGGTGTCAGAAATATGTTATTGTCTATTTTATATTTTTATTTTTACAACCAGGTGGCATCCTGTAACTAGGCTTTGAGTATTTAAACTAAATTTACCTCTTCATTACTGTCAAAACGATGCCATCAACCCTGCTGTCCAGAAATGCTCATCCTTGGTTTTACTTCTTATAGTCTGGTTTCAGACTTGGTTTGAAATTTGAACCTTGATGAGCAACGAGGGAAGGGAACATCATGTTAATCACCGGCAAACCCGCGTGATTTGTCTTGACATGGGCCAATTTTACTTCAGTTCGAAAGGGTACCAAAAAAATGGAGTGGTTCTTACTATAAGCATTTATAATTTCCACTTATTATATTTGACCTTACTATCTCTTTCCAGTGCACTGAACTGAAGTGGTTCTACAAAATTCTAATCCTCTGACTATAAAATGGAGGGGTCTTGTCTTCTCAATGACTTGCTTAACTTCATCCTGAGCTCATCAAGCACAACTCCCACAAAGAAGAAGAAGAAGAAGAAAGGAAAAAATAAAAAAATGGAAAAAGAAGAGAAAAATGCTTTCAGGACTAATAAACTCGTTTCTTATGTTCTTGGGCATTCTTTCGTTCTTCAACTGCATAGAAACCACCACTGTTACTGCCACTTTTGGCTAAAAAATGAGTCAGACCAGCAAGCTTTGCTTTCCATTAAGGATCTCATCATTAGTTTTACTTCTTATAGCTTGGTTTCAGACTTGGTTTGAAATTTGAGCCTTGATAAGCAACGAGGGAAGGGAACAACATGTTAATCACCAGCAAACCCGCTTGATTTGTCTTGACATAGGTCAATTTTACTTCTGTTCGAAAGGGTACCAAAAAAAATATATATATATTACATGAAAATGACGATTATCGTACAAGCACGTTCACACAGTCAAATCAATGGCCCCTATAAGCATTTATAATTTCCACTTATTATATTTGACCTCACTATCTCTTTCCAGTGCACTGAACTGAAGTGGTTCTACAAAATTCTAATCCTCTGACTATAAAATGGAGGGGTCTTGTCTTCTCAATGACTTGCTTAACTTCATCCTGAGCTCATCAAGCACAACTCCCACAAAGAAAAAGAAGAAGAAGAAAGGAAAAAATAAAAAATGGAAAAAGAAGAGAAAAATGCTTTCAGGACTAATAAACTCGTTTCTTATGTTCTTGGGCATTCTTTCGTTCTTCAACTGCATAGAAACCACCACTGTTACTGCCACTTTTGGCTAAAAAATGAGTCAGACCAGCAAGCTTTGCTTTCCATTAAGGATCTCATCATTAGTTTTACTTCTTATAGCTTGGTTTTAGACTTGGTTTGAAATTTGAGCCTTGATAAGCAACGAGGGAAGGGAACAACATGTTAATCACCAGCAAACCCGCTTGATTTGTCTTGACATAGGTCAATTTTACTTCTGTTCGAAAGGGTACCAAAAAAAATATATATATATTACATGAAAATGACGATTATCGTACAAGCACGTTCACACAGTCAAATCAATGGCTCCTATATGCATTTATAATTTCCACTTATTATATTTGACCTCACTCTCTCTTTCCAGTGCACTGAACTGAAGTGGTTCTACAAAATTCCAATCCTCTGACTATAAAATGGAGGGGTCTTGTCTTCTCAATGACTTGCTTAGCCTCATCCTGAGCTCATCAAGCACAGCTCCCCCAAAGAAGAAGAAGAAGAAGAAGAAAAATAAAAAATTGGAAAAAGAAGAGAAAAATGCTTTCAGGGCTAATAAACTCGTTTCTTATGTTCTTGGGCATTCTCTTACTGGAGATGTTCACAGGAAAAAGGCCCATCAACAGCATATTTACAGGTGACTTTAACCTGCATAATTTTGTGAAGACAGCCCTTCCTGATCAGGTTTTGGAGATTATTGATCCTCTACTCGCAATTGATATTCAAGACGAAGTTCAGTCCAGAAGATCCAGCCCAAGAGGCAGCAGAAGCACCAACATCGGAAAGGTAAAGGAGTGCTTGGTATCAATCCTGCAAGTTGGACCTCGATGTTCTGCTGATTCGCCGAGCGAACGAATGGTTATAGGAGATATTCTCTCAGAAATGCATAAAATTATTAAGATTCTCTCTAATAACTAGAGAGATTTCACGTGCTGTAATTTATGATAAGTGGCTTACTTCTTTTTTCTGGTCAGAAGGCTTGAATGTTAAATGCAGAAGTTCATTTTCTTTTAGTAAAATGAATTTAGTTGATTCTTGAAGGTTATGGACCTAGCCTGCCAATACATTATCATAGAACTTCATTAGTAGAAACCAAACCTTTTTTTCAAGAATATCACACAGAAATGATTCCATCTGCAAGTGCAAATGACCAATTCTCCACTCTCTCCGAACCATTTCTAACCCTTCACGAATTTTCAGATTCTTTTCTCCCTCAACGGTGTTACAAGAACTTTGAATTTCTCAGCTGAGCTAATCAGTTCATTAACTCAAGAATTGCCAAATTACAAAACAGTCCCCATACTATTTAAATTACAATTGCTTCTTTAATTTCTTTTCAATTAAGCCCTTAATTGTCTTGATTTGTTTTCAATTTAGCCCTTATTAGCTTCTAATTCAAACTTGATTTAATGCAATCAGGTCCCTATTAGCTTTCAATTTTCAGTTTATGTATTTCCTTTTTTTTTTTTTTGTTTATTCTATTTTTTTTGTACTTATTTTTCTTTTTTTTTTAATTAAAAATGGAGAATAATTAAAATTTTATAAATCATGAAAAAGAACAAATTATGCAACATTTCATTTTTTTTTAACTTTTCAATTTCTCTGTTATATATATATATATATATATATATATATATGAAAATGAACGAGGTCGAAAATGGGTTAATTCCAAAATATTCCGTAGGAAATCTACAAATTCTTTCCACTAAAATGCACAAGTTAAAAATAAAGTTGAACATAATGTCAGCATATTTCTGACAGTTTAACTCGAATTTTTCAGCATTGTCATGCTCCGCAGCCAAGTAAGTTTTCGATTCCATTATAGAAATATAAAATGAACGATGGAAATGATTTTCTAATTAAAAGAAGAATGAATTCAAAGACAGCCATTTAGTTTAGAAATTAAAGACTGCATTATGTGATTCGATTTTTAATCACTGATTGACAGTTAAATTATAAACTGGTAAAATTTGTTAAACGAGGGAAAAACCAGTGTCAAAACAGATTACTTCTGTAGGTCAGAACACAGTAGCACTAGGAGAAGCCAACAAATGCACCCCATTTTGAAGCTGGAGTTAAGAAGAAGATTGATGGGAGTATGCTCACAACTATAAGCTCAACCGTGGACAAGAGAAATCCATCAGATTCTTTGACTGTGAAACTTCAGAGGTGGTCAAGTTAATTCACCCTTGTTAATTTTTCCTATTCTGAATGCTTCCAGCAATATATTCCACACAAGTCATCATTTTTTACGTGACTATAGTAAACAATTTTGGCACCTACTAATTTTTCTCTGTGGAAAATTTTAGTCAATAGAACGTGGACTTCACAATTTACCTTTCTTTTCTTTAGATTTGGAGTCATAAAGGCACAAAACTTCCC